GGAGGAGGGGGGACAACATAGTTCCCCAATTTCAGACCCCCAGTGCCTGTCTTTTTCTTTCCTTCCCATGCATCATTTTCTATTTCATATGGACAGAATATTGACATGCAAATGGAAATTTAAATCTTAGGAAATTTTCAGTTAAATCCCTAGACCCAAACGCAAGACAACTCTCCCCACTGTTTTTATCCTCTTACAATGGCTCTCAGAGTGTCATCCACTGGCCTTGGTCACAAGCACCAGAGACCGTTTCCAGTCTGGGGTTGCTGGAGAACGGTCTCAGAGGGAACTTGACGAGCACACGCTGTTTTGAAGGCCAAAGAGGATCTGGCCGCCTGACCGACCTCCCCACCGCCTCTCTTCCAGGTCACCGAAGAGGCCCCCAGCCAGGGCCAGGCCTGGGAGGACCCACTAAGAAATGATGCAAAGCGCTACAGGGGAAGAGCGGGTGGTGTTTTATGCATAGTCAGTAAAACAAAGTTCATGTCTGTTCATCTTTCCTCGCGTTTAGGGAAGTATTCGGGAACCCTGGACGAAGACCCTTACGAGAAGCCATCGATGCCCCAGAACAGCCCCGCGGACACTCCCTACTAACCCGGCAGAAAGCTGGGCCGCGCGGAGCAGGGGCACAGAAAGAGGGCCCTCACCCTCCTGGCGTAAGGCCTGCCTCCCTGGCAAGGGATGCTATCTCCAAGGCGTTTCTAAACTAACTGTTCAAGTCCCCCGGATTACGTACATTTACGCCAGCACCGAGTTTGAACAGAGCTCTGCGTGCGCCTTCTGTGCGCGCCTTCCCAAGCCTTTAAGGGGAGCGCTGGCTCGCGCCGGATGAGCGGGGCGCACAGACCCCGGGGGCGACCACATCCAGGAGGGCGCTTGGGCGCACAGAGGGGTGCCCAGGCGCCTTAGGGTGGGAAGGGCTGGATTTCAATTAAAAAGTTTAAGGCACTAAACTTTCTCTCTCATTCAACCAGTCTGTCCATAACAAAGCCCAACCGATTTGCTGCCTCCTCGCCCAATCACTTGATCCCTAATAAGAACCCTGGAAGACTCGAAGGGATTTTACATTTCCTCTAGGGAGGTCCACTCACCTTACCGCGGGGCAGGGCGCCTAGCCGTATCTTAAAGGCTGTAAGCAATCGTTTAGGAAGTGGGCAAACTTTGGAGATTTGCTTCCAGCTAAGTATGACGAGCAAGATTCACGTGTAAGTGTCCTGCGGGGGACGCCGGGTGCCATTCAGGGAAAGGCGGGTTTGCGTTTCTCCCGTGCGTAATGTTCGACTTAGTTAGTCCTTTCTGTTCCCCTGGCTACACGTTAGGCCCCGTCAGAATCTGTATCTGAACCGTAGGCTCTGGATGACAAATTTCTAAAGCTATTTACTAAGTTTTAAGGAATATATTGGTGGTAGCTGTCACATAAAGCTGATATACTCTAGTCCAAAAGAAAGCTAAAGAGGCGATTTATTTGTGCGTAAAAGGAACAAGATTTAATTGGAAAGAGACGTGTTATTTTCAACGCAAGTACATGGGGTGGCATAGCGCCGTGGGGCATTATTCGAGCTTCATCTACTATGCACTATATACCACCGTCTCCAAAGGAGTGTTGCCCTAGAAACTTGTTTTAAAACTGCTGCTATATATCAACACCTTGTTTTAGCAGTCCTTGGCTGAATTACAGTTACACAGTTTGGCGCTTCTTTCAAATTTCCTGCCATCACTTTGGCTAAAGAAAGGAATTTTTCTCCTTTAGAAATGAATTGGCTTAATTAGTAAGTAGATTAATGGCAATTGCTGGTGAGTTGGTTTCCAGCAGAGTTTCACCAGAGAGGGTTAATCGGAGTCAGGTCTGGAATCTTTCCCAGAACTGGCTGCCAGCCATTTCCACCAACCAATCAACCCTACAAGAACCGGAGGAAATGAAATAAAATTTATATGCTCTGTGCCATTATCCTGGATGGAAATTCCTTGGAAGCAGCCTCCTGCTTGGGTGCAGTACATACTGTTTCATTACAGAACTTTAACAGAAATTTTAACCTTCCACATTTATCTGGGTACCAGAGCAGAATTTCAAATGGCACAATAAGGCCAATGGCACAGAACCCTGGATGCATTGGAAATTTCTGAGGTTTTCAGCCAATTTCAGGTTTAGAGAAGTTGCAAAGCACCCCTCAAGTCCCGCCCTAAATTTGTTATCCACCAGAAGTCCTTCAGAAGTTTTGCTGTATGTTTTGTAGTCTTTTCACTTATTTTTTTCCATAGTGATAAAAATGCATTCATAGTTTAACTTGCAGCTGCATTAGTCTTGCAAAAAAAAAAAAAAAAAAATCCCCGCTGAGAAATGCATATAATAGGAAAAACAGATCGGCTGGACAGCAGTGTAATTAATGCCAGAAAGGGCTGAGGCCGGTTTCATAGTTTGTCTTTTGAGGATATCAAGACGAGACCTGGTGAAAAATGACGCATGCTTTAGCATTTCAGAAAGCTGGCAACTGGCAGCGCTTTTCCTTTTTTCTTTGACTTTCTGCCGCGGAACAAAGAGGTCGGCAGAACTAGCTAGGTTGTAATGAGTTCTATGTCCCTAGCACATTAAGTGCATCATGGAAACATATTGTATCGAAATAGTTTGGAGGAGAATACCAGGGATGAAAGAGAATGGGTGCTTTGATCAGCTCCCTGGGGTCCTGAGCGCGCACAGACTGACTTGCAAGGAGTTATTCAGCTCCAGCTAGACACACTTACAACACCATTCAAAGAAATTTGCATATCTGTAATTTATCACATTGGTCCAGAACATTATTGCAAGGTAAATAAAAGTTAGTTGAATTAAAAAAAATCAATCATCGCAGATATAGAGGAAACTGTGAAGTCAGTCTTTCCTTTAAAAACAGAAATAAATATGTCCATAGAACAAGATAACGTAGAAGCTAACTTTTTAAAGCGTCTTTAGAGCAACAGGTTATGCACTGGCCGAAACAAGAGTGGCCGCAACTTCTTTGCCTTTCTGCTTTCTGCTTTAGGAGAGTTGTATTTGCAGCTTCCCACTGGAATAAAGTCAGAAAGTTGAATGAGATGCATGTGGCCACAACCAGCCTGCGACACGCAGAGAAGAATTAGTACACACTTTCAGGAGATATGAAAGATGGCTTAATCTCACTGGCATTTGCAAACGCTAAGCTTAAATCTCATTTCTTCTCCTGTTGATTTCCTTGCCAAGCCCTGTTTGCTGAATTTAGCTCAAGAGGATGAAATGTCCAGAGACCGGGTCAATAGGAAAACTTGCTTTCGAATGCCCCATGAGAACAAGTGAAAATTTAACAGGCAGGCATTGTTCTGAGTTTTTAAACAACCCAGTTAAACAGCAAACAAGAATCTTCAACTTGACCTTGGAAAAGGCTGTGTGCCTGCAGATCATCTATCAAACAACTCTGGATGACAATGATATATTTCAAAGTATTGTCAGATGAAAAGATTGATAAATTTGCTGCTGCAAAGAGAGAACTTTGGAAAACAGCAACAGGCAATTTAGCTCAGGACTCCGCCTCCTCCTTCTCCCTCCTCACAGCCCCATCCCCACCCCTCCACCCCCGCCGGCCTCGGGGCCAACTCAGTAGAAGAGGGCCAGTAAATCAGCACTGTAATATTTCTTAAGGGGCACGGAAAAGCTGTGAACAGTACTTCTCATATTAAACGCAATATTTCTTTGCTTTCGTGGGGAACAAAAGTCATAGCAAGACGTCTTTATGGCTAATTCAGTCAAAGGCACATCGCTGGTTCCCCCCGAAGAAAGGTCAGTGTCGTTGTGTTTGGTCCACCGAGGGGGTGTTTTCACACTGAAAACTGAGCCAGCTGTCGCTGTCGTACCCTCGCCATTGGAGAGCGCGCACTAGCCATGGTTATTAGGCACATTCTACACCTGCAAAATATACCGATTTCCAAGACTTTTCAAGACACCCTCCCGTTCTCATGCCCCCTCCTCTTTCGTCTACTAAACTTTGACAACACAATTCAAGTCCTGGATGAAAGCGCTGCACGCAAGAGGAACTGCGGGGAGGGGGTGGCTCGACAGCCAGAGTGGTGTCTATTGAGCTGCAAAGAAATGAGGCGTCAAGGATGTTTGCAAAAGTATGGAAAAACTTCCCAATAATTACTTCGAGGTGTCACACGTTTGCTATTGCCACAGATGGTAGTTGTTGAACCTTAACGTTTAATTATATGCACCGGTGTTAGGTGCGGGGTTGCAGCCAGGCGTCTTTCACGTAGGGGCTCGTTTTCTAAAATCTCATTTGTATTTAACATGTCACTGACCAACGCCAGGACATGAATTTCTTCTGAATCGCCCCAATGCGAGTTCAGGTCTATTTTTTAAAAAATCCAAATGCCAGCGCATGCCCAGCTGGATTTCATAATAAAACTCTTTCTAGAAACATCCCCTAGCTAGACTTCTCGCTCCTAAACCCAATTCCAAAGGCTTGCACGCTAGAGACAGGCGACTAACTAGCTGTTTGTGAGACGCCCAGCGACCCAAACAAGAAAGGAGCTTTAGCTTTAGGGACCCTGTGCAATAGCTGAAGAGAAATTATAAAACTAGAAAGAATTCAGAAAAGAAATCGCTTTAAGAGTGAGACTTCCCCAAGTGCCAGTTCCTCTAAGACCCGAGCGCGAATGGAAGCAGCTTGCTCCGTCAGCACTTATATAGGGCCCAGGGGTGGGGGCGGGCGACCAAAGATTCCTCTCTGGCTTTTGGATGGGGGAGGGGAACAAGGAGGAGAGAAGAGAGGATTTAATTAGCCGGGGGTGGGTCTCTAATCCCCACCTTTGTCTAATTTTTCCACCCGAATTGCAAAGCGCTGCATGAGAAGTCCCTAGAGCCGGCGAGGTGCAGGGGTACCCAGAACGCCTTGGGTTCCTGGGACACAGGCAGGGGTGAAACACTCCGCGTGCTACGGGGGGCGGGGAGGGGGTGCCTCTCACTCACAGGGAACCCAAAACGCTTTCCTGAGGCTGGGGGCCTCCACACAGCCCGCCTCCGTCGAGCCAAGCGCCAGCGCTTCTCCAAAGCGATGTCGGCGCAACAGGTTGGTTGGAACAGGTGCCAGCCAGCCAGGGAAGGGGGTGGCATTAAGCTGCGGGGATCAGCCAAGAGCCGAGACTCCCCGAGAAGCGAGAGTAAATCCCCAGGGGCTCTAAAGTGGAAGCGGCTAAAAACCTGCGCCCCCGCCACTGCCGCTGCTAGCGCCGGCGCCTCAGCCCGGAGGCAAAGCCAGCTCGCCACAGCCTGCGCCCCGGGCCACACGGTCCTCTGCAGGCGGCCGCCCGAGGGCCTCCCGCCCGACACTGGGGCGTAGTTGCCCCGGGCCTCCTCTTAGGAAGCCGAGGGCCCCATCTCCAGGCCTCCTGCAGGCCCTTCGCCCCCCTCCCTGCTCGCTGCATCCGGGAGCCCCTCTTGGAGACTTCCATGCGCAAAGATAGCAGGACTGCGGAGAGCCCGGCGCCCGGCAGCCACTTCCAGCCTCCAGGGAAGACAGCCAGTCCCCGAACCCCGACTGCGCCGGGAGCAGGGGCGAGGCAGGCCTGCCGGGATCCTCGTGCGACTCCACCCCGGCTCTCCCGAGCCCTGGGAACGCGCAGCAGCGGGCGGGGCGCATGCGCGCCTCCGGCCAGGGTCCCTCCCCGGCCTGCCGAGTTTGGGGAAAGTTTGGCGACGTTTGCCTTGGCAGCGGCGGACGTCCCCAAGGCCCGGCTGCCCGGGGGATGGGGCCAGGAGCCCCCCGGAGTCCGGGGAGCCGGCTCGGCAGGGGCCCGAGGGCTGAAAGGCGGCAGAAGGTGGGGAGAGAGAGGCCTTTTGTGTGTGGCACAGGAGAGTCACTTGCGCACAAACGCAGCAGTGCGCTCCGCTGCCGCCTCAGCCTCCACGGCTGCACCTCCGCCTCCGAGGCGCTTCATTACAGCCGAGCCCTTCCCCCGCCTCCCCCCGGCCCCGGCCTTTGTTCGGCTTGAAAGTAATGCTGTGAATTAAAAGAAATGACAATATTTTCTATCTGCTTGAAAGTCCAAGAGAAGAGCCCTTGAGCTTGGCAAAAACCAGGCAAATCATTCATCATGCCACCCCGCACCTGTGGTCCTGGCATTGAAAACCCTCCAGACCTATTCCTATTAAACTTAATTATTCCCCCAAAGCACACAATGGTTGAAATGGAGCAGGTTGGAGTCTGTTTATTGGTGGTAAATGTTTTTCTGAAGATCTTCTGAATCTCATTGTTAGCTCGTTGTTTGAGGCTGCCCTCTTTCTTTCAGACTAGAGTAGCCTTGGACTTTTCAATTTTCAATCGTAACATCTGCTTAATCGTACGGATCAAAATATGGAGACACAAAACATATGTAATGGTTGATTTGTTAAATCCTGGTAATGAGTTATTAACAAGGGAAAACAATAGGCCAGGATGGTGAGAGCCTTATGGTAACAGAGTCACTTTATGTAACGCCTGACGTTTCCCTTCTTGATAAATGGAACTAAGGTCTGAGCGCCAGGTGATAGCAAGAAAATCAATGTCTTTAGGGGCCAGCCCTGAGACTTTTTTTCTATGTGAAAAATTAGGAGACATAAAATTTAATTGGCTGATCAGGAGGGGGGAAACAGTGGCCTTAAGTTTAATTGCCAGTGGGCTTAGCAAGGGAGACAAAACAAGATTTGGGCCTGTTTGTTTGCTGCACCCCAGCCTCAAGTCCAAGTGTATCATTGAAAATGTGTTTTATTATAACACATGTCATGCTTTACAGTTCCCATATTGTGTAAAGACAATAGTTAATGGTACATTAAAGACAGGCAAACCATGCCAACACGTCTTGGAGACATTGTAAGGGCCTCTCTCTTTGCTTGTTTTAGGCAGCTGCAGCCCAGGACCCAGAAGCACAAAAAGAACAAGTTTGAAATACCAGGTGCATCCTAGAGACCCACGACAGGGATTGATATGTTATAGCCCAGGACATGAACCTAGCAATAAAGATATCATTTCGATTGTCTGCGGCTTCCACGGCCTGTAAAGCCGGGAGGCCCTGCGCAGCCTGCTTTCTGGCAGCTCTGTCTCTCTCCCTGGGTTTCCCATCTCCCTGGGCCAAATCCGAACACCTGTTGGCCAGACCCCACATCCCGTCGTGGGAATCGTTTCCTACCAGTGGTTCCAGATCTCAACGACGCAGTTGCTTGTGGAATTATTTAGAACCATTCCCACAGGCTGCAGAAGGCTTTGGAAAGGCAGAGGGAGGGGAGGGCTCTCCCCAGAGAGGTTCGCCAGGGAGCACTCAACTGGTGTTTGTTCAACCCCGCAGCTGGTATTCGGTGCCACCGCAAAGGCCCATTAATGGAAATGGGATGAGTTTATGGATTTAAGAGGCTTCGCACCCTCTCCAGCGAGGGGCGTTAATCCCGGTGCCGGCAGATGAGCAGTCCTGAGAATCTCTCCCAGCCGATTTCACAGGAGCCCCCAATGAGGCCTTTTATGCTCTCTGCTCCCAGCCTGGGGCGGGAGACTCCCTCTCTTTCCCACCTACTTTTTCTGCTCTCCAGGACCTACAGGCTCCAGATGCAACGTTTTAGGAGAGTTTTAAATCACCCCCAGGTGCTTCCTTCTTGGGAAGGAAGAGCTCCACAAGAGGGCTCCAAGCCAGAGGCCACCAGCTCAGGGTGCAGGAGTGTCTCCCTCCCTCGCCTCTTTTTCCCTCCCTCCGTCTTCCCTCCTTCAAGAGCTACCTCTCCGTGCCTCACCTCAGGACTGAAAGTCCCCTCAAAAAAAAAAAAACAAAAAAAACTGAAGGGAATAGGAACGGTATCTCAGTTTCCCAGCCTCTGAAAATAGAAAGCACCTTTCTTGTGACTTGTAATATTTTTTCAGGTAACCACAAGAGGACCTTGGCATTAATGCCCAAGGAGGAAGGGCAGGAAGGGCTTTTATTGAGTAGAGTTGTTGGCACTCTGACACCAAGTCACAGAGACACAGCAGCCTGGGATGACGACCAGCAGTAGGATGGGCTAGAATTGAGGGTGCGTGTTTGGCAGGAGGGGTAGGACGTTGGGGGAGGGCAGGGCATCCCAGACAACCTCTGCTCTCAGAGGACTTTATCAAACCCACCCCAGGACTCCCTCCCCCCCCCCCACCGCTAGCAGTGGAGTCTGGGCCTCTGGGGAATGATTTAGCCAGCTCTCCAATAGGGATCATAAAATGCACCCTGTACCGGGTTTGCAGCTTCTTTATTATGCTAAATGGACAAGCGCAACCAGGGCAGACTTTAAACTCCTTCCCCTGGTGGTCCCAGGCTGGGTTTCAGCGCAGGGGCTGATGGGTGTTCAGAAGAGCCCGGCTGGGCAAGGGCTCTCTGCAGCCGTCCAGGAGTTTGGCTTACTCGATTATTTTCATATGCATTTTTTTAAGTTGGAAGAAAAGGGTCAACTTACAAGGACTGCTGAATACCTGTCACTCAAACTGCCCCCACATGGTCCTTCTAGTGCCAGGCTGTATTTATGGGCCAGCGATGCCCCAGGCCAGAGGCTCTCCAGCCTGGCGCTGCCACAAGGAGAGCGACTCCTGCACCCAGCGCAGCTCGGGCCTCCCTGACGCCAAAGGACACTCTGAAATGATACGTTTGTTCTGCTTTTACTGCCCAGTTGTTTTTTTTTTTTTTTAAAGAATTGCTACACTAGAATGAATGGATTATGAGTAAATAAAAAGAAGCTGTCAGTCTCTTTGAAGGTCGTGCTTAAAGGGACTTGCCAAGTCAGGACAGAGAGTGACAAGATAGAGACCCTGGTGTTTTGCAGCTCAGTTCGGCTCTTCCGCTTCATCTGCACCGCACTAAAGGATGTGTTGAGGCATTGAATCACAAAAAAAAGTGGCACGCAAAATAAAAGATGCCACATCACAATGATTGTAGTGTTTTAACTGCGGATGGCCACATTGCCCAATCCAACTGAAACGCAGGTCTACACAGCCGAAGAAAACGGTACAATACCTCCATAACTTAGAATTAAGTTGGAGTCTGCCTAACATTTGACTTTCTAATGAGCGTAATGAGATTACATGCCTGATGGAAGCGTTTGTGCAAAAACAACTTTCGTGTTTAATGAGGCCCTAATACGGGACAAAATCGAATTATTTTCTCTCGTCCCCAAATTCTGTCTCCAACGTAAAATCATCTTTAGGGGGAGGGGCGGGAGAGGGCGCGAAGGCTGGAAGGGTGAGCGGGTCCATGGCCAAGGGCCTTCGGGCAGCCTCGCGACCCAGAATCTCGGCATATCTGGCCAGGCCGCGCTGCGGGGTCGGGCTCGAGGCCTCGCTTTAATTGCTCTTGGACGAGGTCCATGGCACCCGCGGCGCGCGGGGAACCCCTCGGTGGGTCTGAAACTGGGTTAAAGCAATTAGCATGCTGCCGACATTATGTCCTACGCCAGGGCCACGGGCACTGGGGGCGATTCGTGATTGTACCTTGGCTGCCCAGGCCGCTGCGGGCCTCAGGCAGCACCCGGCCTTGGCCCGGACTGCGCCGGCACGGGCGACCGTCCCACGGGGAGGTGCGCGTCTCCAGACCGCGCCCGCGGGTTCTGTGCGCCCGGGGCCTCGCCATCCTCCGCCGCGCGCCCCGGCTCTAACCCGCAGGTGGGGGCTTCCCGAGGGTCTGGGACGCGCCTGTGGCCGCGGAGGAGACAAGACTGAGCCCTGGCTTCCTGGACTCCCTGGCTGAGCGACCCCCGCTGCGCCCTCGCCCCTCTCCCTTTCGCTAGGGGGCGACCCCGCGTCCTCCGCCCCAGGCTCGCCTTCTCCCCAGGTTGCTGGCAGCCGGGCACGCAGTTCTGTTGGAGGCAAAACGGAGTCAGTTTCAGAAGTAAGCCAGTTGCACAGGTGGCAGGGGTAGCGGGTGAACTCCTTCCCGCCTTACCTAAAAGACCTTGGATTTTGGGGGGTGGCCTCCGAGTGGTCTCCAGGCTTCCGCACCGTCCCCTGTCCCATCTCCTTTGATAGGAGTGCGTCTGGGTTCGAGGCAACTGCCAAAGGGACGAGTCACGTGCCCTTCTCCCCAGCCCGTGGAAGCAGAAAGTCCCCTTCCCTTGGCCAGCCCGAAACTAGCTCTCAGCTCCCACCAGACACAGCGCGTTGGCTTTTACACACTGTGATGAGGCAGGGTGGGGATGACTTCATCTTGGGTAGATCAAACGTCATTTCCGGGCTTTAGCTTTCCCCTCTGAAAAGTGGGGATAATAAATACTCCATGACTTTGTTTGCCTCATAGAGTATTTGGAAGTTGGGATAAAAATACAGGCAAAGGTAATACTATTTAGGGCAGGCGACACAGATGC